TTGCCTTATGTGGCAAAAGTGCTTACTGATTTCTTAGGATGCCCTTTGTCAAGGTCTTGTTTTTGCTCAGCCATTCATAAAATAGTCCTGGATTATGCTTGAAATCCTCCGTACTGCTCCAGGATGTCACTGGCCAAGCCGCAACATATTGACGGTCACTGCCTTATGTGGCAAAAGTGCTTACTGATTTCTTAGGATGCCCTTTGTCAACAAGGTCTTGTTTTTGCTCAGCCATTCATAAAATAGTCCTGGATTATGCTTGAAATCCTCCGTACTGCTCCAGGATGTCACTGGCCAAGCCGCAACATATTGACGGTCACTGCCTTATGTGGCAAAAGTGCTTACTGATTTCTTAGGATGCCCTTTGTCAACAAGGTCTTGTTTTTGCTCAGCCATTCATAAATATAGGCCTGGATTATGCTTGAAATCCTCCATACTGCTCCAGGATGTCACTGGCCAAGCCTCAACATATTGATAGTCATTGCCGCAGTGGTCACCCCTAAGGACCATATTCAACTTGATTGATCTTCTTTTCTTTGTTTTATGTACATCATGCAGTTTTATTTTTTGTGTTCATTTTATTTAATTCCTAGGCCAGGACCACTATATGAGAAACTGTCCTTTGGCCCTGGGTTTGACTATAGAGAAACTCATTTCTCTTTGGTTTGACTGTCCACCTACCAACTTTTGAAAAATTAATCAAACTCCAGGCTGGAGGCATGTTTAGATACTTTGTTTGCAGCTCATTATTATTCATTAGGTTTTCTTATAGTTATTTATTTTTATCACCATGTCTGTTTATGTATAATCCCTGTGTGGTTTCTCAGAAATGTAAGGCACAGCCAAACATCCTGTGGTTTAGCAATGGCCATGGTTTAGCTTAGCTTTGTATTATTATTGGAGTCAGTTTTGTTTTAGCAACCATCCAGAACACATGTTATAAAGTCTTATTGTTGAAGAAAGTTTTTACAGCACTGGCTGCGCACAACTGCCATGCGGCCGCTGAAGAAATAAAGAAAAGAATTCTTCATCTCCAAACTTGAAGAGCCTGTTCTCCCAGATCAGACTTATACACAATTTTGTAATTATTTCATTAATTTTGCACATAAAATAGTCGGCATGTCTGGGTTTGTTTGGGTGTAGGATGTGTTTCCCTGGATTTGAGTGGGTCAGTTGTCACTGTATATGTCTGCAATCTTCTTGTCAAATTCTTACGTATTATAATGTGTCATTTCATTAAAAAAAAAAAAATGGGGGGGGGGGGTTTGATTTAACCAGTGAGAATAATAATAATCTTTAATTGAAGTAAAAAAATCTCAAAAATGTGGATATATATGTGATTTTTGTTTTTCATACAAATCAGTGTACCATAGATGTTAAAATATGAGATAAAAAAATCTAATACTTCGGACAATAAACAACAAAATTGGTATTGAAAAGTTTTGTCATTCCTCGGCAAAGTTAAAAAAAAAATGTACTGTAAGCTAAGCTCCCCCTTCCCCCTCCCAGACAAAAATAAAATGTCATACCCCCAAAATTTGCCTTTTTTGGGGTGGTCAGGTTGGCGACCCATTTTTTATTGCCCCTGTCTTGGACTTGACCTAGCTGTTTGACCCATTACATTTGGGATTAGGACTTGTGTTGGGGGGGGGGGGGCATTCTCACTACTGAAATTACCCTCATGGTAATTTGGTACTAAGATTCAATTTATTATTTCTACTTGTTTAATAAAAGTTGTCCATTCTTTCTATAACTTTGTTTATTTTTTGAGGATTATTTCTTATTTAGGTTGATAATTCATCTGTATTATTCAACGTTATTCACAGAGTACTTGTGATTTTATTATTGAGATGATATATCATCAATTCTTAACTTGATAATAATTATGTAGTCATAGTATGTTTATCTGGTCTATACTGACTTTTGGTCTTTACCATCAAAAAGACACAATAAGATACAGGGTTTACTATTAATTGAGAAGTATGTGGGGGTTTTTTCCCCTCACAATTTCATTGAAAACTTCTTCAGCATAATCATTTCATTTGACTGATAATATTCTGTAACCGGGAGAATTCTAAACATAGGGAGTAAGAAGTAAGGCAAGTGACCAGTACAGTTCATATGCATTTCTTTAGCAATATATAAAAGTAAAGACAAATAAAGGGAACTAGTGTGATAGACCTTATACTTTAGAGTTAGTCTGGTCTGTAGAGAGGTCATGTTAATTCCCAAAAGAGGCAACTAACTGCTGTTCTTGAAGGATAGTTGATCCATTTCAAGGTTGATGTGAAATTCCTTTCACTTTGGTTCTTGGCTGTGTGGGCAATTTGCCAAAACACTCTTTGTTTTTCTGAAGATTTTTGGTTGTTTTCGGTACACCGAAAGAGCTGTTGCTAATGTTAATTTTGTTAGTTTTTTTCTCGTCTGTTTTCCCTTTTTTTTTCTTTTTCAGACTCCTTTCCATAGGTTTTGTATGTACATTTTTATACACATTGGCAAAATCCGATTCACTGATTACATAACGTCTGGTGTCAAGTTACATAAATGTACATCATCACATTAGGTGCATTTATTGGCCATAGACTTCGTACACATTCGAAGGCATGGTAAGGTCATTATGCTGAGGGGAACAGGTCTGACCACAAGGTTCCCAAGAGGCCTTGGTCTCAATGGTCATAAAGTTAATTCCCAAAAGAGGGAGGCAACTATAATAGCTCTAAATTACTATTAGAGCCATTCATGGTTGATTTGATATCACTTTACTTTGGCCTTATACTCATTAATATGATTGAATTGATCCAATTTCCTTTATTTTAATGGACACTTTTTTGTTGGGGAGCTAGTTCTTTGCTATATGTACAGTAGTTCTTCAAGTATAGGCCTCAGTGAAGTGACTTTTGATTGAACTGAAGGCATTGGTATTACTTTCATTTTGGTTTACTTATAAAAATAAGATAATTTGGTAGGTTTAGTTTTCTCTTATAGTTAGTGAATATTTTATCTTCTTTTTTTTTTTGGGGGGGGTAATTTTTAGCTTCCTCTCTTTCACCTTGTTCTTGGATGGGCCCTGCCCTGTGTGACATGTGAGTGTCCACTATTACATACTGTGTTGGTTTAAGGTTTCAGTCTTTTATGTGGTCATTGGTCTTCGGTCTTATCAATTTGCTGTTTCAGTTTTAAGTCCTTGGTCCTTTTAATTGAAGTTTTAGTTTGGATTTTGGCTTCAATTGGTCTTTCATATTGAGTTTAGTGCTGGTTTTGGTTATTGCTATAGTTTCTTCATCTAGTCTTGAATTTTTGTAAATAAATTCTTTTTCCCCCTTTTTTTGTTGGAAATCCAGAATGTGGTGTCTTGTCTCTATTATTAATTCAATTTCCTCACAACTGTTCTCTTAAAAGATCCCAAGATTAGTCTAGTTTGATTAGAAAAATCCCTATCTGAGTCAATACAAGTCTACCTCCATGGTCTATTTAGTGCAAGTTCCCCCATATTGTGTTGTTTTTCCGGGTTGCATAAGCTTGGCCCTCCCCCCCCCCCCAAAAAAAAAAAAAAAAAACCAATAATAATAATAAAAAGATTTGCAAATTCTACATGTATGTTTTTCCACAAGAAAGGAAAATATTAAGTGAGGGTCATTTTCATAAAGATAATGAACAAGATGAAATAGTAGGAGTGACTGATACCTAGGTGGTTGGAAAAGTGTTTATCAGGATACCTTTGTACATGTTACCATGGAGGGATAAGTTACCATGACACATTCCAGACTTCAGGACAGGTGTTCTCTATTTACACCTGTGCAACCTGCAAGTGGTGATTGTAGTAAGTGGTGCTCCATCATGCATGTAATGCAATGTGTGTCCAAGGTCATGCAGTTGTATGCAGGGAACAGTGGTATGCAGCACATTCACACAAGTCCCTACTGCTGCACAATGAAAGCATTGTGTGTGGTGGTTCAAAGTTATATTGTAGCTATGGTTAAAGGGAATATACAACATTTGCAATCATCGAAAAAAACAAAACTACAACATTTTTACAAAATGCCGTACTAGGATGTCGGTAAATGACAGTCTAAAGCATCCTGTAAAATTATGACACCTGGTGTGAAGCCATTTTCTAGAAAAAAGGTATTTTTGTATAAATTTCCAACGGTGGTCGGCCGACCACCGTTGGAAAAACCTAACTATTTTCCAACTACTGCTCCAAATTTACCCTTTTTTCAGTCCAAATTCTGATTGCTATTGGCTACATGTTCATGACCGGGTGCAGGCCAGCTAGACTGGTTCCCTTACCTTACAATTTTCCGGCATCTATAAATTGATCCATTTCATCTTTAGTGGAGTCGGGGAACCAGACTACTTGAACAGTTTTGTTTTCTTGGTTTTTCCAGCATTTTCGAAAACAAACCTTCAAACTTGTCAGTGTAACAATAATTTGATCTATTATACTAACCCCTCAAATAGTTCATTTCTGAAAATTTAAGCATAAGCCAATGATGTACATTCCCTTTAAGTTTTCTGTAAGTATTGTTAAGGACCCTTTTGAGTCATATTTTGTATGCCACAGGCATTCAAGTTTTCCACGAAGCAGCTAGCTGATCCTCTTTTTTTCACTTCATATTAAATTTCAAATTGAAAACTACTGTATAATAAACACTGCAGTGTCTGGAAGGGCCTGTCAGTGAATTAACACAGTGTTATACAATGTAGTACAGTTGCTAATCAGTCGGATAAACTCTTAGACTGTAAAGCTGGGATTGTCCTTTGTTTTGTTACTTTCCTGTTGTGTGTCATATAATATAACCAGACAGAAACTTGAGAACTAAAAGGTATTAGCAAAGGCCAACCCTTTTTTGAAGTTACATGTTAGCTATAAGTGATGGATTAATTTAATTGCCTCCAATGTCTTCAAAGTCTTTGCCTTTAATAAGCAACAAATCTCAGTGAAAAAAAAGTTACATACATAATTGGTTTACCCCATCATAATATTATTTTCTTTACAGCGGACATTGTCAACATTCTTGGACTGAAGTCTCCAGGTAAACCAGCATGGCATCTGAGATACAATCCCAGGCCTTGCAAGTCTCTCAAGATGGTCCCTCCCACATACAGATGCTCCCCTCAGAAGTGTGGCTACAGGGGCAGGACTACGGGACAGACTTCCCAGAACGTCATGCAGGATTGGAGACCGAGCAAATACAGCTGAGGTACCCTTCCCCAATGAGATGGCAGACAGATGCTCTGCCGGGTGATACGGAGGACACAGGTTTAGGGGATTCGGTGTCAGCAGGTGGGATGTGTCAAAGACCATATCCTGTCTTGCTCATCAGAGCCAATCCTGTCTCTGATTCTGATGATGAATTGGAAACTCCCTCATTGATGCCATCGAGTGACATTCTCCAAAATCAGGATGTTGTTGAGGAAGCCGGCCACATCTCTCCCAGTTCTGGATCAGCATCACCTGGCAATTTGGCAGTTTACATAAACTGTAAGCCGGCCTTGCTTTCTTCCTTAAAAGACCCTACCTTGGAAACCACATCTGAGACAGAAAGACAACAGGCAGAGTCTAATACTCTCTCAGTGCAACACACTGAGGCTTTATCAACCTTGGAGTTTTCCTCCCATTTGCAGGGTCATTCAGCTTCCCCAAACCAGAGTATTGCCTACCCTACCTACCAGTACCTTATGACTAATGAGCCTCTGACGATGCCTCCAATCTCACCTGAAACCTGTGACGATTTATCCACAACCTCACCTCAGGCATCCAGGCAGACAATTGCTGGCATCTTTCAAGACACGTTGCAGTCTCTCAGAGCGAGATCTGCATCAGCAGAGATGGCTTCCGTAGCTGAATCACACCCCTTTACTTTTCTCAGGGACAGCATCTCTAACAAATCTGAAATGGGCTTTCCTAGGACAGCATCAATGGGCTTCTCGAGTGAACCAACTCTATCCAACAAAAGAACGATCTATGATATTAATGACAACCTGTTGCCTTCTAGTGAATCTCATATCTCAAAACAGTTCTGCTCGGAAACCAGGGAGGCTGTTGACAGGCACCAGCACAATTATGTCCAGAGTATGAAGCTGCCAAGGTCTGAGCCACAACTGTCACCAAGCCCTAATCATCACCTCAATTTTCAGACAAGAAATGCGACACAAAGAATAGGTTCCTGTCACCCTCAAGAGATCCAATTTCAAATGTGTAACTCTATCAGTCTTGCCAACAAGTTTAAGCTTCCCTCGCCAGAAAACGCAAACACTCCTACCTACTCATCAGGTATCCATGCACGTGCTGTTTCAACTGAAAAAATGCCTCGGTCTCCCATTCCATACTTCTCAAATGTTGCATATGGTGGAACAAGCACAGTTGTTCCCTCCCTCAAACACTTGACAAATCATCATCCTCATTCTTGTGTCTCATCACTGCCAAGACCGAAATCTCTGGATGCCCAACGTTTTCCATATCTGACCTCTGAAATCCCAACTCCATTCTGCCTTCCATCACCTTCATCACGAGTGCCAGGTGCTCTTCCAGCCAGAGAGACTCTACAAATGTCACCTTTGCATCACACACCTAATGAGCATGTATCTGTAGGTGCAGTACAATCACCTGGTCTTGCTACAGATGTTCCTTCGCCCATAGCTGTCTTCCCTTTTGATGCAACACCTGTGCCTTGGCCTTCATTGCCACCTGTGAACTCCAAAGGTTCAGCTATTGGTTCAGCTGCAGCTCGTGCACCTGCTATGGTATCACCTTTGCACGAACCTGCAAATCTGCCAACGCAACCCTTTCAACCCAGTCTTCCTTATCTGGCAAGAGTTCCTAATGCTGCGCCTGACCATGTTCCATTTACAAATCATTGGTCTCCCATTGACATCCTTGGTGCAGATAAACCTGTGGCACCCAGCAGTAGACCACAGTTTCGTTTCTTTCCTGTGAGTGGACATATGGATCATTCATTCTGTCCCCCACCTGCAGTTAGTTTGCCATCCATGACATCAGTTGCAATGCCTGTGAGCTCATCACCCATGCACTGGCCACCTGCTACCCCCTCTCCCACAGGTACCTTCCAAAAGTGTGTTCCAAGCTTTCAATCATCTACAGTACAGTGGTTGTCTGTACCAACATCAAAAGCTTGGCGACCTGCAAACATTTCTAGATCTTCTCATCTGCCGTCATTTGGTAACTTTTCCCTGCAATCACCTGAAATGATGCCACAGACTTCATCTGTGGGACCTGCTGGATTGTCCTACACAGATCTCTTCCGAAATGGAGATACTCTTCAACCTTCAACGCCTTATCAAAGGAAGCCTCCGCCACCATATCCAGGGGAAAGGCCTACCCAGCCTGTCCAAGATTCGTATCCCTACACAGAAAGTTTGAAAAAATACCAGATTCCAACCCAGAAGTTATCTCCAGTGAATGAGCCTGTTCATCCTTACTTATTAAAGGAGCTTCTGGTAAATCCTCCACTTGTAAACCCCTTCCAGCATCCTGCCATGAATACCTACCCTCATGTCCATTGTTCCTCCAAGTACACTCCTGGAGCAGCTACTCAAGAAAATGTTCCTCCAGAGCATGTTTCAAAACGATCGAGGAGTAAAGCTCGTAGGCAGAACAAAGCTCTTAAAAAACGTGCAGCTTCAAAGACTTCTAGTTCCCAGCAAAGTACTTCATCTGATACAATGGGCAGTTGGGTAAGCAAGTTTATTCAAACCTCGTTCGACTTTCTTCGAGAAACGTCCCTGCAAAACCCTACACCAACTTTATGTTCTGAGAAATGCCTTCCAGCATCACACCAAGGTGAGGAAGTCCGCTTGGCCTCTCAACCAGGTGCAACATCAAAGGAAGGTGATGGTTTGCCTAAAGCTAGCCCAGTGGTTCAAACAGCAGAGCTTCCAAGTACAGTACCAGAATCTGCAAGAAGTTTTCCATTGCCACACCGACAAGAAGTTCCATTGAGATCTTTTCAACAGAACCTGAGTTTCGAGGTGAAGGAACCCCAGACAAAGCCAGCTAATGAGTTCCTTAAAGTGTTTCTGGCCTGGAGAGCCAACATAAGAAAATGCTCTGAGCAGACTAAAGATAATACCATTTCAACAACAGCAGAAGTGGATGCAAGCACTGTACCATTTTCAGACAGTGTACAGAGTCTTCATAACTCTCATGGGAATGACAGTTCGAGCAACGAAGTATCTCAAGCTCCAACAAAAGAACTCACTGGGCATGGATTATGTGACTCTGTTGAAAGCCTTCCACAATCAGATCAAAGTTTCAAACCTGCATCAACTCAAGATGCCATGCCAGCTTCATTGGGAGAGGTCACTGCACATGGATTATCTCACTCTACTGAAAGCCTCCTACATGTACACGTAGACCCAAAGTCCAAGGCTTCAACAACAACCCACGAAGATCTAAACGCAGGACAGAGGTCGCAATACATGGGACCATTTCAGGAGCACTCATCACCTGGCAGAGCAGCCAATAAAGTACCCGATGAATCTCCATTGCGAGAACTCATTGGGCAGGGATCATCTAACTGTGCTGAAAACCTCCAACAAATTAACCCAAGCTCCAATGCTTCTACTGAAAGCCTCCAAAAGGTAGACCAAAGGTCCAATGCTTCCACAGAAATCCAAGGAGTTGCCAACCAAGCACAGACATTGCATATGATGCAGCCTTCCGAGGAGCACTTATCACCACTGGGCAGAGCAGCTGAAGAGAAGGTAACTCTTGGATCCTCTACACAAGGATAAACGACTCATCTGAGCTTGTGTACCAAGTGCACGGAACGGTTTGTCAAGAAGCGTGATAACGGCCTGTGGGCGTATAGAACATACAATGCGCGCGCATACGCGAGACTCGGCGCGCATGCCCTACATGAAACCCAATCGCGGGAGACTTGACAGAAATTCAACTGCAGCCGCGTGCCGACTCTAGTCTCGTGCACCGGCATTGAATGTTCTATACGCACACAGGCCGTGATCACGCCTCTAACCAGACATTTTGGAAGTAGTTCATCCTTGTGTAGAGGATCAGTGGGTAAATGTTGCGTCATTATTTGTTGCCATAAGAGTCTGTTTCAGGCTTACGCATGTCTTGGTCTCAAGTGTGTATGTAGTCTATGACTTGGAATTCCCTCAGAGTCGGTGGAGTGTCAATGTCAATGCAAGCATGGGCCATATCGGAATCCCTTGGTTATGGCTGGACGTAACGCATGCGCCTTGTATAGGCTAACTTTCCTATACCAGGCCATAAATAGCAAGGTAGCTTTCCAGGAAGATAAACTACCCAAAACATCCAATAGATCAACTAGGAGCTGCACACCAAACTCTACGTTTATCCCACTAATCATACCAAAAAGGACTGTTACAAATATTCCCTCATCCCACGTACAATCCCAGAGTGGAACCTTCTTCCACTCTCCATACAGGAAGCCACTTCTGCTGACACCTTCCAATCCGACCTGTTAGCCTTGGACGTCAAAGACCTCTTAAACCGCGCTCACCCTCTAAACTAGTTTCTCTTGCTACCAGCACTACGCTTGCATGTTAATACATGTAACTCTCTAGAGGGTGTTTACGCAGTACTGAAGCAGAAGCAGAAGCACCTACATCGTATGGAAGCCATAGGCTAGCGGCTGCAGCCCCTTCCCATAGACTCGTGTCATATTGCCAGCCATAGCAAAGTGTTTCTAACACCAACTTCAAACACCTATGGTTTTAAATAATGAAAGGTTTGCGGAAACACCATGTACAAATAATTTCTCAACTAAGAGAATGGTTCTGAAAGGAACCAGAGGTATAAACTCGACGTTCCGGTCAGTATGCTCTGACCGTCTTCAGGAGAGTGCCTAAACTATGGTTTTGATACACTCAACCAAAAAAGAAAGTCCCCCTTCCAATACTTTTTTGTGTAACTCAAAAACTACTGAGCTTCTCTCACTCAAATAATGACTAATCAATACAGAAATTCCTTAGCAATCCAGCCTTACTCTTTATTTGGCCCAAAACAGTGATATATGTACAAATTCGTGTAATTTATGACAAATGATACCGAAAACAGTTGTCATTTTGTATACGTGCAAGTTGTGGTTCACACTCACCTTGCATGTACACAAAAGTGCAACTTTTTTTCTGTACCATTTGTCATAAATTGCATAATTGTGTACACATTATCACTGTTTTGGGACAAACAAAGAGTATGGATGGATTGCTAAGGAATTTCTGTATTGATCTGTCTTAATTTGAGCAAGATATGCCCAGCAGTTTTTGAGTTAGAGGCTTAGACAAAAAAAGTATTAAGGGAGGACTTTCTTTTTGGTGGAGTGTACTTGAAAGGTCCTTTCCAGATTTGTAAATAGTTTGTAAGTAGCATTAACACAATAAATTGCACTAAATTAAACAAATAAATGCTAAATTATATTTTTACCAAACAGGTATTGGGTAATATCTTCAGGTGCATAAACTGCAATCAAGTCACTGCGTACATCCGAATCAACCAGCTTACTCGTTGCGATACTGAAGTCTTGGCAAAGCTGAACTTGTTCATTGGTGAGAAGCCTGAGAAAATGTCAGGACTTCTCATGTGCGAGTCCTGTTTAAACTCTCTTCGCCTTATCGGCCTCGATCAGCAGAAACTTGAAAGAGCCAGGGCCGATTTCAGGCGAGAAATCTGCAAGGATACCTTCCTCATGACGTGGGTTTCGCACTCGCTGAGGAAGAACTACTGCGTGCATTGCGGCTGCACCTTGCTCCCGCACCCCCACCGGACGGACATCTTCCGTGAGACAAGTGATGGTTGGGTTCCGGCTGACGTCATCATCTCGGAACTGAGCGTTCTGAGTCCCATGAGGGATAGACACGAGTTGTATCTGTGCATGCCATGTTTCCGAGACTTGGCATCGATTCGCGAAGCCCTGACGTTGATGAAAATAGACATGGCTAAGTTCTTGGAGAAGATGTCACAAGAGAGCGTCATGTACTTTTATTGTTGCAAAAAAGTTGTTAAAATATCGTAGTACAAAATTGTTGACAGTATTTTAGTTGTGCTGCAGAACACATTCAAGTGTATTAGAAGGATAAAAGAATGTGTTAGGCCAAAAAAAAAAAAATTCGGTCTCTGGTCAGACCAAAGTTCCGGAATTGATGCGGCGATGCGTTTTTTGGGGGGTTTTTTTGGCCTTTTTTTTTTTTTGGAAGCTTGGATTGTACAGAAAAGGTGGGTACTATTTTGCTTTTGTTGTGTCCTCATATACATTGGGGACGTCCATAATTTGCCTTGGTGCAATTTGCCCATTCCTTGGTACAAAAATTTGAGGAGGTGCGGCAATAGAGGGCGCTGCTGTAGCTACCGCGGACAAAAAAAAAAGGTTGACGCGCATGATTAAAATCGACACGCGCGCTGACCAGAGACCGACTTATTTAGTTTTTTGGCCTTATGCTTGTTTGATTTGAAATTTATAAAGAAAAACTACACTTGTGAGACATGTACTGTTGAAGGTTGAGCAAACACTGTAGATCATGAGTGTGTACATTGCAAATCACTTGACAAAATGTCAACAATGTACAGTCGACTCTCGTTTTTAGTACAAACTCTGTTAATACAATATTCTGGTTATAACAAACATAAAGCCTTGGTCCCGACTGTGCATTTATGTGCACAATGAATGGGACTGATGTTCCTCTTAATACAAAATTCTGATATAACAAACAATTTGGCTAGGTCCGAACGAGTTTGTTATAACGAGAGTCGACTGTAATTGTTAAAAAACGTACTCAGTACTGTTAAAGGGAATATACAACATTTGCCTTTGCTGTAATTTTCAAAAATGGATATATTTGAGGGGTTAGTATTACATAGTTTATATCGATACACTCACTTGTTTGACCTTTATGGGTTCGCAGATGCTGGAAAATTCAAGAAAAAACAATCGCGTTCTTGTAGACTGGTTCCCTGACCTACCTTATGATGGAACGGAGCAATTTATAGATGTCAGGAAATTGTAAGGTCAGGTAACTAGACCAGCTGGCTTGTACCCATTTATAGGTGTGCAATGGATTGCAAACAAAATGCGGACTAGCTAAATTTGATAAAGTGGGAGCAGTATTTGCACACAAAAAAACAAACAGTTTTTCCCAATGCTGTTCAGCTGGCCAGCTTTGGAAAAAATACAAAAATGCCACTTTTCTTGAAAATGTCAGCACACCAGGTGCCATTATTAAACAGGATGCGTTAGATTTTCATTCACTAACATTCCAGTAAGGTGTATTTGATAATTTGGTAGTTTTGTTTTTTGGTGTTTGCAAATGTTGTATATGCCCTTTATAAACAATTTGTTTGATTCAACATGTTTATTCTGGACCTTGATTACAGAACAATTGACTAAAAGATTCTCAAACATCCAAATAAGCACTGACTTAAGTAGAAAATGGTGTGAATGTTGAGGCAAAGGATGTGTAAACATTCCTTCCCACGAAAAAAAGTATCCCATTTTCTTCTCTCAAGAAGGAAATCATCAGCTTGAGACGTGTTTCTGTTTAGGAGTTTGCTGTTAAATCGTGTTCCCTTTTCTGAATTTTAAAGATATCTCCTTCAAAGTGGTTATAGGTTTTTTTCAGCTCCCCGTTTTCGGGCCTTTATCATCTTCAAAATTTTCGTGACGTTTCCTAAAAGAACTCCTGAAGAAAGTAGAAATTGATATCATTGAAAGTGAAATATATTCTAGCTTCTGATGCCTAAATCTGAATTTTTATAATTGTTTTGTACAATGTATTATATATCGTTTCGGTTTGCGGTAACACCATGTGGTAATAACTACTGCTTAGAAGATATTAGTTCTGAAAAGAACTTGTCCTGCTTATTATCAACTTTGCTAAGTAGTTTTTTTGTTCTGATAAGAACGGTCCTGCTGTAAGTTCTAAACGAACTTGTCTTTGGTCTCAACGTTTCGACTAGCCTGCTCTAGTCATCGTCAGGAGACTGAAGATAGTTGGAGATGCTACTCCTTAAGTAGGATGTGTTAGGATTAGAAGTGCTTGCTGGGCATGCCCTGCTCGCTCGGGTGTGTCAGTTGGTTGTGAGCCATGGGCATTGTGTTGAGGGATGCCCGCTGTACTTCTTATCAGAACAAAAAAAAACTACTTAGCAAAGTTGATAATAAGCAGGACAAGTTCTTTTCAGAAGTAATATCTTCCAAGCAGTAGTTATTGCCACATGGTGTTACCGCAAACCGAAACGATACCAATACTCCACCATGCAAAACCTCAAATCTTGTAATGTATTAAATGCTGTAGATCAAAATACGGCTGTGTTACTTCGGACTGGTTTTGTGCTGGTGGGGCCGCAAATGTCAAACTTCAAAGTTCATCTTGGGAAGAATTTTGTTCACCACGACTGAAATGGGTGTGAGAGTTAAAAAAAAAAGGATTCGAAGTTTTATTCTTGCCATCAACTACAGAACGTAGATGTACTGTGCAGCTACTTATTGCAGAATTTTGATACATGTCTTTCTACTTGAACTTGAAGTGCATGTAACATTTCTTTTCTTAGATTTCCTTTTCTATCCCTTTGTGTAGCACGTGAGTGGCCCTTTGGGTCTTGTGATGGTAACTCATAAAAGGAAATACAAAAATATTGCCAGTTATTGAACTTTTTTATAATATGACACAGGTGCTGCAGTATGATGTGCCAAAAGTAAAAACTCAACATTTTAGGTTAAGAAATGACAAGTGTAATGACACTTAATCATAAATCTAAAAATTAATGTGGCCTGACGTTGCGAACTTAGCAAGTTCTTCTTCAGAGGCTAAAACAGAAATGACAGAGGTACATACATTAACATGGGGGTGCACACAAACATGCAGGGCTGAAAGAAGAAACACAAAAAGGAGGATTAGGGGTGAAAGGTGTGGAAAGATGCAGGGGAGGGTGGATGAGAGAACAAAGAAACAAAGGGAGATGGCAAACCACAAGGGGTCTGGTATGAACAGGGGAGGGACCAGAAAGGGGAAGGATCAAAGGTCATGTACGTTTTGACCGTGATATTGGAAAAAAGTACTTTTATCTTTGTGTTTTCATACCCCTAGCATTATGTAGCCTTTTATTTTTAGTTGTTTTCACATCAGAACTACAGTTTTTGTGTTGCAGAGGCCATAGTAAGTAGCGTAAAGCTCACGTTCATTCAAAGTTATTTAAAATATTCTTTTGATTCATACCATTTTGCTGTAGTTACTGGCCTGTACTCATTTGCACATTTTTTTTAATTTTTTTTTTTTATTTTTTTTTTTACATTTAATGACTTTTTAACATTATACCCATTTCTTTCACAAAACTAAATAGCCAAGTTTTGCCTCCTAAAAAAACAGGTTTTATGTATTTTTTTGTATAATTTATATTAGCTCATACCAGTTGAAACAGATTATAGAAAGTTGTTCTTGATTAAAATGCAAAGTTAACCTTCCACCGGAGGAAAATATGTCTCTTAAATTGTTGTTTTATTTTGGGGTAAAAATTTTGACCAAAAAATTTAATTCCTTGAAACTTGCTAGAAAGATGCCTACGGGACCCCAGAACACATTCCAAATCCATTTGTAGAAAGATATGCTTTTCTAAAGAAAAAAATTGGACAAGGGGAAAATAAGTCAAAAATATTAATTTATTTCTCACAAAATCGAAGGTTTTTGCCCAAATCTTCCAAATATTGGGTGTTTGAGTATTGTTTGGTGCTCCTCTGACTTCCAAAGGAAGTTCTGCATTGTTTTGAGAAAAGTCAATTTTTTGGCCAAATTTTGATAAAAATGCAAGGCTAGCCCCTTGCATTTTTTTTCAATTTTGACCAAAAAATTAAATTCCTTGAAACTTGCTAGAAAGATGCCTCAGAGACCCTAGAACACATTCCAACACAATTTGGAGAGAGATATGGTTTTCAAAAGGAAAAATTTGACGAAAATATGGGTTAAAATCTATCAAATATGTTAATTTATTTTTCACAAAACCGATGGTTTTTGCCCAAATCTTCCAAATATTGGGTGTTTTGAGTATTGATTGGTGCTCCTCTGACTTCCAAAGGAAGTTCTGCATTGTTTGGAGAAAAGTCAATTTTTGGCCAAATTTTGATTAAACTGTAAGGCTAACCCCTGCATTCTTTTCAATTTTGACCCCAAAAAATAAAATTCCTTGAAACTTGCTAGAAAGATGCCTAAGGGACCCTACAACACATTCCAACTCCATTTGTAGAGAGATATGTTTTTCAAAAGAAAAAATTGGACAAAATATAATGGGGAAAAATCTGTCAAAAATGTTAATTTATTTTTCACAAAATCGATGGTTTTTGCCCAAATCTTCAAAATATTGGGTGTGTTAGTATTGATTGGTGCTCCTCTGACTTCCCATGGAAGTTCTGCATTGTTTGGAGAAAAGTCCATTTTTGGCCAAATTCTGATAAAAATGTAAGGCTAACCCCTTGCATTTTTTTTCAAATTTGACAAAAAAATGAAATTCCTTGAAACTTGCTAGAAAGATGCCTAAGGGACCCTAGAACACATTCCAACTCCATTTGTAGAAAGATATGCTTTTTATCAGAAAAAAATAGACGAAAATAGGGGGTAAAATCCGTCAAAAATATCGTAATTTATTTCTCACAAAATCGGAGGCTTTTGCCCAAAGCTTCAAAATATTGGGTGTTTGAGTATTGATTGGTGCTCCTCTGACTTCCAAAGGAAGTTCTGCATTGTTTGGAGAAAAGTCAATTTTTGGCCAAATTCTGATAAAAATGTAAGGCTAACCCCTTGCATTTTTTTTCAATTTTGACCAAAAAATGAAATTCCTTGAAACTTGCTAGAAAGATACCTAAGAGACCCTAGAACACATTCCAACTCCATTTGTAGAGAGATATGGTTTTCAAAAGAAAAAATTGGACGAGAATATGGGGTAAAATCTGTCAAAAATGTTAATTTATTTTTCACAAAACCGATGGTTTTTGCCCAAATCTTCCAAATATTGGGTGTTTGAGTATTGATTGGTGCTCCTCTGACTTCCAAAGGAAGTTCTGCATTGTTTGGAGAAAAGTCCATTTTTGGCCAAATTTTGATAAAAATATAAGGCTAACCCCTTGCATTTTTTTTCAAATTTGACCAAAAAATTAAATTCCTTGAAACTTGCTAGAAAGATGCCTACGGGACCCTACATTC